TGCCTTCACATCTTTCCCTCCAAAGAGGCAGATGGTTTCTGTTTTGGGTCACTTGGCTTGGCTGTCCCCACCCTGCCCTGGAAGCAGTGGAGCACCACCGTGAGGCCTGGGCTGCCTTCCGCACCTAGCTGTGTGCCCCCTCTGAGCCCACTGTCCAGGCTGAAGATGGGGATGACAGTGCCTTTCTCACAGGGTTAGTGAGGTCACACACGTGCTGCACTCGGCTGCATATGAGTGACAAGCACATGGTAAACACACCTGGGCTCAAATCCCTGTCCTGCCATCTGTCAGCTGTGACCTCCCTCAGTTTCCCGTCTAAGGATGATGCAGACATTGGCGGTTCTGACTCCCTGAGTGTGCCGTGTGCAACCGCGGGCATGTGAAACGCTTTGCAGCGTGGCCGTCGTGAAATGAGCACTCTGTAAAAGTGAGCTGTCGTTATTACCAACAGTCCCTTGCTCTGTTTGACCAGTACTCCATGGTGACATGACGTCACATACTTTTGGCTGCTCGATTCCAGGCTGAGTTTGACAGAGAGGCCCTTTGAGACAAAACAGTGGTTCCCCTCCTGCTCTCCAGCGAAGATGTTCCGGGCAGACCAAGCTCTGGGGATGGGAGGGGTGGGGGGAAGGGTCTTCTCTTCGGCCGCTGCCCTGCCCATGAGCTGAGGTTGTCACCTCCCCTCCAGGGAGCAGACGGGAACTGGGAGTGAGGAAGGTGGGGAAAGGAGGACGCTTGGATCCTCCTGGGCAGAGTTGTGAGTCCCCCCAGACCCCTCCCCAGAGGAGGAGACTTGGAGTAGCCAGCATGGCCTGGAGCCCTTTCATTGATGGTGATAATGGAGCTGCCCACCCCAGGCACTGGTCCTCAGGACAGCGTGGGGGGCGACCAGGGATGGCTCTTCTCAGCCAGGAGCGACCCAGGATGTTGGCGGGAGGCGAGGGACAAAGTGGTCCATGTTGTCATGCCTGGTGCCTGGCCATCCTCCCTCCTGCATCGGGTGGCCCATCCCTCCCGACAGCTGCAACTGTGAGACCTGCTCGCCTCTATTCCAGCGTAGCCAGACCTCTTCTCCTGCACGTGTCCCCATCCCTCTGAGTCACTCTGACTCGTCCTCAGCTTGAAATATCCCCCGGGAGGGGTCCCGTCAGCCTTGCCTGTCCTTGAACGTGCTGAGCAGAGCATGCTGTGTTCCCCACCAAGCTAGTTCCTTTTGGCCTCTCCAGCATCCAAGGAAGTGGCCTTAGATCTAAGCATCTAAGTGTCTCGGACTCCTCTCTTCCTTCCCCTCCATACCAGCCAGTCCCATAAGTTCCCCCTCTAGAGTAGGTCCTGATGCTCTTTCCTCTCACATGTCCACTTCTCCTCTCTCTTGTACAAGAGCCGTGGCCTCCTGAGCCCCTTGCCTGCATCCGCTGATCCCCTGCATTCACTGTCCACACAGCTGCCAGCAGGGTCTCTGAAACCTCCGGCCCCTCCATAACGTTCCTCTGCATATAACTCTCCAGCAGCTCCCCAGGTCACTCAGAGTAAAACCCTGAGTCCTGACTGTGACCTAAAGCCCCTCTGTGATCGGGCTCCCTTGGGCAACCGCTCTGGCTCCTACATCCCACTCCACGCACACTGGTTTCCTTCTCATTCCATGAACATAGCAAGTACGTTCCCACTCTAGGCATTTGCACCTGATCTTGGCTTTCCCTGGACCCACATGCCTCAGAAATCGACAGAGCTCCCTCCCTCTCTTCCTTCTGGTCTCTACTCAGATGACCGCTTTCTAAATCGGCCGCCTTGCAAGCACACTCTGTCCTTCTATCTCTCTTAGCACACTCACCACCTGACCATGTGTTTATCTGGTCTTTGTCTATCTCTTCCACAGGATGTCAGCTCCACCAGGTCAGAGTGTGGTTCTTTTGGTCAGTGCGGCCTCCCTAGAGCCCAGCACTGGCTTGGCATGGAGTAGGTGCTCAGTAACCACGTGTGGACAGAGTGGATGAATTCTGGAGAGTCCAGGCGCTGGGTGGAGTGTGATAGCTGAATTGTGGGTCATCACTGGACGTTAGTCCCTCCTAAGAGATGGTCTTTGTGTCAGATCACATCACTGCTTTCCAAACTTTAAAGGTTTGCCTGTGACCTTCAGGACTTTGATCCTGTCTGTGAACCGCCTGAAACATTTTTATTTCATACATTTCTTTAAATCAATACACTTGATTGGTTTTTTAACTCAGCCTCATCCTGAGCTTTCATCAAAAAACGAAAAATCATGTTTGGCTGCTTTCCTTTTGCTCTGACACAGACTAAATAAAGCGTGACTATTCACGTAAAAGTCGCTCCACAACCCTCCTGGGGACACCCAGCTCACCCGGGCGGCGCTCAGGCTGCACCGCAAGCAGCACAGGATCACTCTGACTGTACGTCCCTGGTTATTGACACTCCTCTGTCTCTCAGGGTGAAGTCCTTAGGGTCATTCCTCCCAGGCCAGACCTGCTGGAGCCAGGGCCTGTGGTCGGGGGACAGGTGTGTCAGGGCGGGGCCCCTGCACGTGCGCAGGAGCTCTGGCGGAAATGTCTAGTGTGGCTGCTATGAAGCCCCTGCTGTTCTCTACCACCCCCTCTCACCACTCCAGCCTTGTTTCAGCTCCTGGAACTTTGCCAAACACATTCCCACTTGGGGCCTTCACACAGGGCGTCCCCGAGTGAATTTCCTTCCATACGGATGCCTCCCCAACCCCGAGACCCTAAGTCACACTTCCATTCTAGGCTCTACCAACCTTCCCTGTGCTTCTCCTTGGGAGCAGGGGTCCCACTTTGCAGCCAGGCGTTCTGCCTGAGGTCATTTATTTAATGTCCTTCTCCCTGCATGACTGCCAGCTCGGTGAGGAAAGGGCAGGCCTCAGGGTGGGGTTCCGCCCCACTGCCCACAGCCCTGTTACCACGCGCCTCTCTTCCTTTCTCATGCACGTGGACATCCCACTCCAGCCGAAGCGGCCTCGTCACCTTCCTTTCCAACACAGTTTGGTTATTTCTGCCTCTACACCTTGACTTTGGCCTCTGTTGTATCCTCCGCCCTCTTCAAAAACCAGGGCAGGACCACCTTCCTCAGGAACCTCGCTGGCATCGCCCTCAGCCCTGCGGCTCTATTCTTACCACCCCCTCGGCATCTTCAGACCCATGAGCTTCCTCTGCTTCTCACTGAAACGGCAGTGACGTACAGTGGTCAGCGCGTGGGCTCCAGAGCCAGGCCCCGGGGGCTCAAGTCGGGGCTGCAGCTGGGGGACCTCGAGGAAGTGATGCAGCCTCTATGCCTCGCCTCCTCCAGATTCTCAACGTCAGTGCATCAGAGTCACCAGGAGGATTCGTCAAAACACAGACTGCTGGGCCCCAGCCCAGAGGTTTTGATTCCTGCAGTCTGGGTGGGGCCTGAGAATCTGCCTTTCTGACAAGTGCCCAGGTGAGACTGCTACCGCTGGTGCAGGGACCCCACTTGGAGAACCACTGTCGTAGTCGTTAGGGAAAGCAAATGGAGATGAATTCATATAAACCGGGTAGAACCACATGGCACGTAGTAAGCGCTCAACAAAAACGTTAGCTGTTGATACCAGTTCATGCCAGTGAGTCTGGCCTTCTTTAAATTCAAGGAGACCTGAGTCCAGGGTCTGGCCACACCGTTTCCTGGCCTTGGGACCCTGGGAAAATCACCTGGCTTCCCTGAGCCCCAGCGTCCTCATCTTCACAGGACTGTCCTGGAGGTCCCTTCCCAGGATAGCCTGAGCTTCCTAAAGGGCTTCAATACACAGCTGATGCCTGATGGATATTTCTTGAACCAAGTGAAGTTTGAAAGATTGGGAATTCCCTGGTGGTCCAGTGGTTAGGACTCCGCGCTTCCACTTGCAGGAGGCACGGGTTCAATCCCTGGTCAGGGAACTAAGATCCCACATGCCGCACAGCATGGTCAAAATTAATTAATTTTTTTTTTTTTAAAAAGGAAAGGAAAAAAGATTGAAGCTGCAGAGTGCAGCATGAATATGAGGCACGGCGGTCAAACCGACACAGGCTCATGACACACTGAGATCTGAGGCCCCCGCCGCGACCCGCAGGGTACAGGGGGGGATGTCAGTGAGTGAAGCCAGCCAGGTGTGGGACAACAGGAAATGGTGAGCAGTGTGGCAAGTCAGGAGCCAGGCCCCTTCAGAAGAAGCAGCCACCATCTCTTTCAGTGAGATGTGGCAGTGTGTAACCGCAAGCCCAGGGCTGTCAGTCGCTCCACCTGTGGCAGGAGCAGGAATGAGGGTTGTGATGTGAAATCACCCAGCAGTCAAACATGACCTACTGTGGACCAGCTGCCAGCTCGGAGTGGAAGCAACTTAAGGGCGGCTGGCCTGGGCTCAGGGCTAGGATCCCTGAGGACCCAGGGAAGGGCAAGGAGGCGGGGGGCAGGGCCCCCAAGGACGGGTCTGAAATCATCAGGATCTAGACGGGTGTTTGGCTTCAGGGCATTTATTCCATGTTCCTCCGTACAGGCCCTGGGGCCAGGTATGGGGACAAGAGACCAGGCAGGGGTAGCAATAAATAACACAGACAGACGGGCTCCCCTCCAGACAGATGAGGTTAAAGGAGGTTACAGGGGAGCCACAATGCGGAGCTGGGGCGCTGGCAGGGCGGGGACAGCTGGGAGGGAGGGGGAGGCCAGGCCCCCAGGACCTCACTGTCACCTGCCCCGTCCCTTTCCTGCCCCAACCCCCGCTACTTTGGGGAGGAAGGAAGCCCACAGCCAGTGGGGGCCAGTGAGGGTCCTGAAGGGGTGGTGGCCATCCGGGCTACCCCCGGCTCCCTCACTTGACGCGGATTTCAGCATACTCGGCTAGCTCCTCCGTCAGGGTGTAGCTGTCCTTGGTGGGTCGTTTTCCCAGGTCCGAGTGAGAATAGCTCAGGTCCAGCTCTGGGGGCTCCCCCCGAAGGCCCAGCAGCCTCCTCTCAGATCCCAGGCGCCTCTCACTCTATGAAGGGAACCAACTCATTAGAAGGTCCTGTTCCACCCTTGACAGATGCAAAGGCTGGAGTCGCTTGCACCTCCCAGAGCTGAGTCCTGTGTGAGCCTCCTTCCTTAAGGACCGCCAGCTCAGCCAGCCCCACGGTCCCCAGTCCCCCTCTGGAGCTCTTGCCTGTGCCGATCCCCGCTACGCAAAACAACCTCCTCGCTGCCAAGCCTGAAAGTCGCCCACAAATTCAACGTTTCCAGGAAGCCTTCTTCAACATAGGAATTTTGGGGGGGGGGCACTCAATTCAGTCCATAACATGCTCTTAGATTAAAGCCACCTGGTCGGGTGCCCACCTTCCCCGATTTTTGTAAATGCCTGACTCAGTATGTTTGGGTCTGGTGTGGTCCCCCTCCTCAACCTGGGAGATCCTGCAGGTGCAACTTTGGCTTCCCTGTCACGCTTTCCATCCCTACCCCCCACCTTTGGACACACACACACACACACACACACACACACACACAGGACAGTGGCCACAGACATACAGAGGGGAGCAGCAATGGGACAGAATAGACAAGGCCAGGAGTGCTGGGCAGAGCCAGACTGAAGTGGGGACCAACCTGGACGCCTGACGGGGACGCACACACATGCACGCCAACCCCAGGGCCCAACAAGGGCCCAGAGGTGGGCACACTGAGGCCCCCGGAACCTACCTCCTGGGGTGCTCATTCCAGGGTAGAGAGCTCTCTGGACTATTGGAGAAGGAAATGCAGTCATAGACGCAGGTGGGGTGGATGAGGGCTTCTCTTGGGCCCTGAGCTCCACAGCCCCCCGCCAGGCCTCAGCCTGAGCACCCCTTCCCAGCCCAGGGCCAAGCCAGCCCTCCGCACGACCCCTCCCTCCCTTCTGCGGGGCCAGCTCCCCCTCTGCCCCTGGGTCTCCCGGGCCCCCTCCAGGCCCTCGGGGTCCCTGGCACACAGGATCTCCAGCTAGCCTGGCCCCACAGGGTTCTGGCCTCACCTCATATTTCTCCGGCACCCCAGAGATGCGGAAGTCACTGCTGAACAGGACGGGGGGGTCGTCCCCCGCTGGGAAGCTGGCGCTCTCTGTCACGTTCTTTCTGCAGGGCAAGACATGTCAGCTCCAGTGGGACCCCCAGGTCCCCCCACTCCTCTCTCTATCTGCAACCCCATCTACCTAAGGAGTATGGCCCAAGGGGCCCCAGAGCTGCTCCCACCCGCCTCTCTAAGATGGGCAGCCAGCCCCTTTGGTGAGCAGCCTCTTCCTGTCCACCACTGCCCACCCCTCCTCTGCTTCACAACTGAGGATGAGCCACCTGGGCCCTGGTCTCTGCCACTTTCAGGACCCCAGCCTGGCTGCTCTGGGTTCTCCTCATTCGCTCTGCGGCTATCCGCACCCCCTTGCCGCCAGGATGCGGAGCGGGAGATTAATTCCTTGTCAGGAGAGCTGATGTGTGCGCACCACAAGGAAGAAAATTAACAGCAGCGCACCTGTGGCAGGTGGATGTGGCTTGGGACTGCGGAGCGTTTTGTTTTGTCTTGTTTTGTTCTGTTTTTTTAAGATTTCTTTGATGTGGACCATTTTTAAAGTCTTTTCATTGAATTTGTTATAATATTGCTTCTGTTCTACGTCTTGGTTTTTTGGCCACGAGGCATGTGGGATCCAGCTCCCCGACCGGGGATCGAACCCGCACCCCCTGCCCTGGAAGGTGAAGTCCCAACCACTGGACCACCAGGGGAGTCCCTGAGGAGCGTTTTTGATACCACAGATATGTGTAATCGTTGGGGCTTCGGGAACCAACTGTGACTGATGTTCTGGTTGCAAGCCAGGGGTACCGGCTCTCCCCATCACACCGGAGTGGCAGGAGGCCACAGTACAGGATGCGGGGCACAGGTATCGACTGGTGAGAAGTGCTCGGCCCAGGCACTGGCATGCGTGACCCGACCACGGCGGCCCATGTTAGCCGGGGCCCTCTCTCCTCCATCCAGCTGAACATCCTCAGAGCAGAATCCTCCCTCCCTTGCCCACCCCCAGCCTCCAACTGCTCTGCCCCTGCCCTGCCCTTGGAGGCCACCCCGCCCCGCCCCAGCCCAGCCCGGAAGGCTACGCACTTTCTGCGCGTCTGGGTGATGTAGCAGACGACGGCAATTAGGATGGCAAAAGCAACCACCGCTCCCACGGGCCCGATCTTGGCCCACATCAGGCGATCTGAGGGAAGAGAAGACCCAGGCGCCCTCAGGGCTGCCGGTGGGAGTGAGGATACCTGGGTTCTTAGGAGACAGGCTGGGGCAGGGGTGAGAGGGAAAATATTTACACCGCTGGCATATCCTTGCACTGACTGGCTAGCCCGAAGGCCTTTGTTGCTGGAGGGGCCAGTAAAGTACAGGCAAGCTCGGGGCAGCCTCTCCTAACTGGCTGGAAAGGGCATCTTTACCACCCGATCAACTGCGCAGCCTGACCCACGCGCAGCGGCTGGTGATCAGCCTTGGGGAGGGGAGCTTGGATCCAAGAGGGGTCCTTGTCTGTCCCTTGACTCCCAGCCCCAGGCCACACCACTCACGGGCTCCCTGGAAGGGCAGCTCCAGGCTCTTGGTGCCATAGAGGTTGTGGGAGGAGCAGATGACCCGGGGCGGGGCCTGGGCCTGGCCCCGCAGCGTGAGGATGCTGGTCAGCAGGAGGCCGCTGCGCTCCGAGTACACGAACTCGCGCTCCGTCTCGTTCACGGTCACGTTACGCGAGGGCAGCTCGAAGGCCACGGACGGCTCTGGGTTGGCTTTTACCACGCACAGGCACTGCACCGTGTCACGGGCCGCCGCACAGTGGGACTCCAGGAGGATCACGGGGGCAACTGCAGGGGCAAGACCAAGACCCCGCGGGCTAGAGACAGGGCCTCGGGGGCTCCTTGGCTGTCGCAGAGATGAGCTGCCTGTTCCCCTCTGCACTCTCTTTTACGTCCTCTCTAACTCTGCTCACCTTGTGAAACATAAATCAGATCACGGTGCTGCCTGCTGAAACCCCCCCCCCCCGCAAATTGCTCCCCGTGTCACTTAGAATAAAACCCCAATTCTTTGCCTTCGCCTGCAAGGCCCTGCAGGACTTAGCCACGCTCTAATCTCCTGCTGTCACCCTGGCTCATTCCCTTCCAGCCACACCAGCCTCCTTGCTTGTTTCTCATACTTGTGGAGCTTTTTCCAACAGCCGGGGTGGGGGTGGGGGGTCTTGCGTTTCTCCCTCCGCTAGGAACACTTCCCTGACACCTGCCAAACTCACGCCCTCACTCCAGGCAGCTTCTGCGCAGACCATGTCTATTTCTCTGACCACCCCATGTAAGTTGCACCTCGCTTCAATAACCATTCACTCGAGTTTTCTCCCCAGCACTTATCCCTACCCGGGTTATACACTGATGTGGCTGGTCTTGTATTTGCATCGAGACAGGCTCTTACTCAGTCTCCACTCTGTCCCCCACACTTAGAACATGACTTTCTTTTTTTTTGCCATACCACACGACATGCAGGATCTTAGTTCCCTGACCAGGGATCAAACCCAAATCCCCTGCAGTGGAAGCGCAGATTCTCAACCACTGGACCTCCAGGGAAGTCCCTAGAACATCCCTTTCACCCGGCAGGAGCTCTGGGAAGACTTACTGGATGAACTAGTGCGTTCAGCCAGCTCCCCTTCCAGGCCATCCTACAGATGCCCCTACTGACTCCCTGGAGCCCCCTGCATCCTGACCCTCCCTCCCTCGCAGGATTCCCCGTGGTACCAGGTACCACCCTCCACCCAATATCATTTTGTTGGGCTTTGCTTTGCTGCCATTTAAATTACAAAAACGATACTGGTATTTTTTTTCCTTTCATTTTCCAAAATATAAAATTAGAATAGAACATTGAATGTTGCTTTTTAAACTATGTTCTCTTTCCCTCATGGAGAGTCTGGCACTCCCCTCTGCTTGCTCTAGACTGACCTCTGGTTCTCAGCCCTGAGCAAAACCCACTTCCACACGGGCAAAAGATCCTTGGCCCACCTACCCCACTTATTTTCAATTTCCAGTAAAAAAAGAATATGCAGGTAACAGCGACGGAGCAGGGAGTCACATGAGCCGTGTACTGGCAATAGGGATCATTCCATTTGGAACCTCAATGTGTACATATCTCTACGTCTAGTAAATTAACAGTTAAATATTCCAAATTCTGTTGAGGCAGACGTGCACTATGCTTGCTGTAGTATTGACAAATTAACGCACCACAGAGTAAATTAGTAATGACAAACCTGAACGGACAGTGATTAATTTTTTAAAAATCCTTTCATTCAATACTGCACCACTGGTACTGTTGTGACAGCGTTGCGGGAACGCTGACACCCTGTTGCATGTGCTCAGCATCTTTGCAGCATTGCCAGCAGCCTCGCGACCTATGAAACCCTGATTGACACTAGATAAGCCCCAGGTCCCACAAAGGATGGGGAGTTTGGGGTGAGACAGCTTTGGCTTGAATCTCAGCTCTGCCATCTACTGGCTGGTGGCCCCAATCAGGCCACTCAGCTTCCTGGGCCTCTGAGTTGGACTTCTCATGTGTGCAAAGAGGGGTAATGGTCCTTGACTTGCCAGGGGCTACGGGACTCTGTTCTGAAGTGGGCACATGAGTTTGTTGAGAAGAAAGCTTAGGGACTTCTCTGGTGGTGCAGTGGTTAAGAATCTGCCTTCCAATGCAGGGGACCTGGGATCGATCCCTGGTCTGGGAAGATCCCACGTGCCACGGAGCAACTAAGCCCGTGCGCCACAACTATTGAGCCTGCACTCTAGAGCCCACGAGCCACAACTACTGAAGTCCGTGCGCCTAGAGCCCTCGCTCTGCAACAAGAGAAGCCACCGCAATGAGAAGCCTGCACACCGCAACAAAGAGTAGCCCTCGCTCACCGCAACTAAAGAAAGCCCACGCAGCAACGAAGACCCCATGCAGCGGGAAAAAAAAAAAAAGAAAGAAAAAAGAAAAGAAAAAGAAAGCTTAATATCCCACGCAGGGATCGAACCACTCCAGCAGAGGAAGCAAGTGAGCAAAGCCTTGGCAGCAGGAAGGCAGGCGGATACCCAGCCAGGAGTTCAAAGGAGAGATGAGTGGGAAGCTAAGAGGATGCCTAAGACTTACGGGGCACATGGGACATGTCGGGCACTATGGGCGCTCACCATAATTTCCTTCTACTGTCATACCCGTTTTTCAGAGAAGAGAATCGGGGCTCAGCAAAGGTGAATTCACTCGTCTGGGATCACACAGCACATCTCCATCACAAGATGGAGATAGAGCTGGGATTCGGACCCAGGTCGATTCAGCTCTGTCGGGTGCTGGGCACCAGTAACATTTCCGTTTCCTCCTATTAAACGGGTGAAGGGCAGTCCCTGCCCCCAATCGCGTTGTTGTGAGAATGAAATAGGTCAATATGCACAAAGGGCTGAAACCAGTCTTCTAGTCATCACAAGGTCTCAGTGAGGTGAGTGCCCTGCAGGTCCCACGCTGTGCTGGGACCCAACCCCCACCTCCACCCCCGCCCCGCTCAGGAGCACCCACCATCGTCAGCGAGCACGGAAGCCCCGGTACTAGGGGACGCAGACTTTGGGGACAGAGAGGGGCCTGAAGCCGGACACCCAGAGGGTAAGCACAGCGACACAGGCCTTGGAGCCCAGTGACCGGCTCAGCAGGGGTGGGGTGGGAGGCACAGCTGCTCCTCCCCTCCGGCAGACTGAAGGCCTTGAGTACCTTGGGTACCAAGGACTGCAGGGGAGATGAAGCAGCCAAAGGTTTAAGAACTGGGTCGACAGGAGTCCAGAAGAATCCTGGCACTGGCCAGCCTTCCAGCTGCATAGCCTTGGGGAATTCTGACCTTCAGTTTCTCCTCAAAGGGGATGACGATAATACGTAGCTGCTTCAAGGGGCGACCAGAAGGGCTCAGCAAAATAACACGTGCAGGGGATGCAATCCTGGCCCATAGTAGGCCCTTAATGATCGTTTGCTGCCACCACTCTTATTATACAGGAGGGTCTGTGACTGAAAACGTTCGTGAGCTGGAGGTGTGTGTATGATCAGAGGTTTCCATCAGATTCTCAGGGGGTTCTCTGACTCTACACCTAAGAACCCCTGGCTTGGGATATAGGTTTAACAGGGAAAAGCGTGAGGCAGAAGGGTGGGCATGTATGGAGAAGGCGGGGTACCCGCACAACCCATATGCATGATCACGTTGGATGCTGCGAGCGAGCAGAGACTGGGAAGGAAGGTGCCCAAAGAGGAAGGGTTAGCAGGGCAGTGGTGGCCATCACCTTGCCCTGGAAGATGGCACTCCAGGAATAATCTGTCTCTACTGACTACAGCCACATGCCATATTGAATATACGGACTGTGCCCAAAACCTTCTGGCAAGCTTGTGTGGTAGGGACCATTGTAGGTGGAATAATTTGGAGACAAGTGCCAGAGGCCAGGCTGGAGCTGGGGAGGAAGCAGGGGGAATGGAACTACGAAGGTGACATTCCAGAGGGAGTTGCTGGAGGAGGGGGAGTGGAAACTGCGACTTGGGAGCTATGACCCGAGTGACGGCCGGGGTGGGGGTGGGGTGTTGGCGGTGATGTCCATAGAAGGTTGGGAAGGGCTCTGGTTGGCAGTGGAACAATGGGCTTCATTCCCAAGACAGTTAGCTTTTTATATGCATCCGTCTCATCTCTCTGGCTGTACTATTATCTGTTAATACGCTTGGTGTCCTCTTGGTCCTACCCCCCACCTCCCACTGAGCCACACAGCCCGTGCATGTAACAACGGCTTGATCAATGTATTCTGATGTCATAACATAGGATGAGGTCAATGGGCAGTACAGAAGAGTGGAACCAGACCACTGTATTTGAATCTCAGTTCTGCCGTTTTCTGGCTGTGTGACTTTGGGCAAGTGACATAACCTCTCAGGACCTCAGTTTCCTTCTCTGGAAACTGGAGACAGTAAGAGAACCTCCCTCATTGGATGTAACAAAAACGAAAGAGTGGGTCCCTGTACAGAGCTTCCAACATTGCTTGGTGCCTAGCGACGCTCCATAAGGGTCAGAGGTCGTGGTTATTCTTTTAGTTAACGCAAAGGGGCTGTGGCCACAGGATTCAGAAATCTCCTTGGTCACAAGCCCACACCAGGATGTGGGGGTACCGTATTCTCAGGTGGGGCTTTTATTTTCTTGCTGTGGGTTCCGCTTTCCTCCCTTCCTCGTCCTTATCTGCTGGAGCGAGGCTGACCCCTGGCTGGGATGCGGGGGTACCTCCCGGTAACCTGGATGTCCCCCATTGAGCCATCCACCACAGGGGTGGGTGGGCAGGAATCAAGCCCGGCTGCCCTCAGCAGGGGCAGCGGATGCAGGGGAGTACTCACACTCCACGGATAGGTTGAAGGCGGTGGCCCTCTGACCGTACCGGTTCTCGGCCACGCACCAGTACTCTCCATCATCCTCAGGCATGATGGCAGGCAGCTCCAGCTGCAGCTCGCTCTCATAGATGACGGTGGCCAGAATCTGCTTCTCCTTGAAGATGGTAAGAATAGGATCCGGGTTGCTCTGTGTGGAGCACAAGATGGAGACTGTCTCCCCCTCCACGGCCACCACTGTCCCGTTCACCGTCGGCTTCCAGGGTGCATCTGGGGGGCAGGACAGGGGGCCGATGGTCAGAAGCTCCCACCCCCAAATGTGACCCCCGACACCCCAATCAGGGCACACCAGCTCAGGATGGCTCAGGTAACCCCAGGCCTGGGTGTCTCGTTTACAAAGACAGGGGCTCTGCAGCTACAGTGCTTGTGTTTGAATCCCGGCTCTACCCCTTCCCAGCTGTGTGTGGACCCATGTCTAAACCCCTCTGGGCCCCATTTTTCTTATCTGGAAAATGGGCTTTAATAATATTCCCAACCTCATAGGGGTCACTGAGAACCAACTGTGACAAGCACTGTTTTAGCCTGAACAAGGTAGATGAAGATCCCTGCCCATGTGGACAGATGCTATATAAGGAAATCAAACATCTAGTTGGCAAGATGGGGATAAGTGCTTTGCAGAAAAATAAAGGTGGGATGGGAAATCGGGGTAGTTGACAGTCTTAACTAGGATGGTGAGGGAGGGCTGCTGTGAGCCTAGAAGGAGGTGAGTAGGAGCCAGCCGTGGGGAGGCCCCAGCGGAAGAGTATTTCTGGAAGGCACTCAGAAACTGCTGAGTAAATGTTGGCCGGTGCTGTCATTTTTATTATCCCCAGCCCTGGGCACTTTGCCTCAATAAATATTTGTGAATGAATGAATGAATGAATGACCTCTCTTTGGCTCCTAGTTAAGAATCCTGTCTGACGGGCCCCCTCTCCCTGGGGCCCCATAATGTTCGGGGGCTGGGAGAGGCCTGGGTTCTCCTCAGCCCTCCCATCAGAACTGCAATGGGGCTCATTTTAAAATGCAGATTCCCGGAGCCAGGCCCAGCTCTACCCGCAGGAAACTGAATTTAACAGGCTTTCCTGGGTGGCAGGGATTGCCTCTGCCTCTTCCCATCTTGTCCTAGCGAGGAGAGTGGTGCAGAGTAGGTGTTCACCAGATACTCGTGGGGGAAATGAAGGAACTCCTTAACCTGCAACTTCCTCTCCATCTCCACCTCAACCACGGGCATGGTCCCGACCGCGCCCCCACTGGGCCCCCAGCTCCGCCCCGGGCGGGGGCGGCGACTCACACATGACGCTGAGCCCCACGGTGCGGTTGTCCTGGCCATAAGCGTTCTCGGCCAGGCAGGCGTAGACGCCGTCCTCCGCGGGCGTCACCTCGTCCAGCTCCAGGGACAGGCTCTCGGTCACCGCCTCCCGGAGCACCGTGCCGTCCCGCATCCAGGTCAGCAGCGGCGGCGGGTTGCTGTCGGCCCCACAGAGCAGGCTGACGTGGGAGCCCTCGATGGCCTCCACCGAGGAGTTCATCTCCACAATCACCGGGGGGTCTGCGGCGCCGGAGACACAGGACGTCAGCGGGCACGTGCCGCAGACCCCGCCCCCGGCCCGCACCCCGGCCCGCACCCAAGCTCACACTTGACGTCCAGGCTGGCGTAGCCCTCGAACTGCAGGGTGGTGTTGGGGAAGGAGGCCTGGCAGCCCAGCCGGTAGCCGTTGGCCTCCCTGGTGGGCACGAAGTGCAGCAGCGACACCTGCACCCAGGTGCCCTCGTCCTCGCGGAGCCGCCCCAGCACAGCCGGCTCCCCGAGCCCCTCGTGGCCCAGCCAGCTCAGCTCCGGGTGCATCTCGGGGCAGTTGTCAGGCACCATGCAGCTGACCTCCACTTCTGTGCCTGCCACAACCTCTGGGGGGACCATGATGTTGGGGGTGTCTAAGTGAGACGGGGAGATGGAGGGTGAAGGAAGCAGCATCGGACCCCCACATTGCCCGACTCCAGTCCTGGTACCCGGTCCCCTCCCCATCCTTGGATGCAGAATTCCCTACAACCTTCTCTCCTCCTGGGTACCCTTCACCCAGGAGCCCTCCGCAGATCCAACCGCAGATGTAATAATAACGGAAACAGCAATATAGTGGTCTGAGTACTTTACTGTGTGTAACTTGCCCGTCCTTCCAGCCATGCCGAACGTAGAAAGTGGGTAATGTTATTTTGCCCATTTTGCGGATGAGGAAACTGAGGCCACAGCGCGCATGAGGTAAAACTGAGCTTCAATCCCTGTCACTCTGGCTTCATCGTCTGTGCTCTGGACACTACATTATATTCCTCAAGAAACCTCTCTCCTTCCCATGTTTGCTTTGGTTTACCTTCCACGTGCGCGCGCGCGTGCGTGCGTGCGTGCGTGTGTGTGTGTGTGGTGTGTCCTGGAGCTGTCTGGCTGTGCCTGGCGGCGGAAGCGGGGTCTCTGTGCATCAGGGCTGTAACCTGGCTCCTCATATAGACTCAGAGCTGATGGCAAACCTGAGTCTAAGGGTTCCATGCCTCTCGGGGCCTCTCAGAAATGAGGCAGCAGACCCTACTCTAATTGCCCAAACTGGCCCAGAGCTGCATTTTATTTGACCTAAATTTAGGGTATTTTTTAAAAAAAGTATCTGAATCAGCAGCTGATGTTGAAAAAACATAGAAAAATACACAGTTCCCCTTGAAAATTCGGGAATTCCCTGTGTTTCAGTGGTTAGGACCCTGCGCTTCCACTGCAGGGGGCAACGGGTTCGGTCCCTAGGATCCCGCATGCCGTGTAGCAGAGCCAAAAACAAAACAAAACAAACAAACAGACAAATGGAAAACTCAGAATGCTTGAGAGCAATGACCCTGCCTTCTCACCCAGCACCACTTAGACGGAGCTGGGCGTCATGTACCAGACGCTGCTTTGCCCACTTGACAACTATTCCCTCGTTGAACTTTGAGTGCTGTTCTTAACCCCATTTTACAGAAGAGGAAAACAAGGCCCAGAGAAGTTAAGTAACTTGCCCTCGGTAGCCCCGCTAACATAGGAATCCAGAGGCCTGGCCCCAACCCCTGGGCCCGCTGCCTTTACCCCAGGTGTTTCTGGAAGAGTAAGACCACTGCTTTCCTCTGAGAGCCCTGCTTTGCCTGTTTCAGTCATCTGCCTGGGCCGTGTGGGCAGGGGGGTTTGCACCCCTCCCCCCAGCCAAACCAACAAGTCCCTGGTCCTGCCAGCTAGACCTTCCTGGAAAGGTGCCAGGAGGACTTCCTACTCCCCCTGCGCCCCCTGCATGGCCCCAGCCCCACGGCATCTGCACAGCCCCTGGGAACTCACTGATGATGTCCAGGACGCTGTGCTCGGAGAAGGTGTACTGGTTGTAGCCCCCCAGGTCCCCGCGGAAGTAGTACTTGCCGCCCAGCTCGGGGCTGAGGTTGCTGAGCAAGAGGGTGCAGTTGCGCAGGCCCAGGGCCCCCAGGAGGCGGCTGCGGCCCTGGAAGCTCTCGTGGACAACTTGGGTGCGTGACTTGAAGACCACTGGCGGGTAGTTTTTCGGGTAGGGGCTATTGAAGTACCAGACACCGTGCACAACGGCCGGCCGTAGCTCGTCGGGGAAGTCGAAGCGGCAGGGGATGGAGACACACGTGCCCTCGAAGGCCGAGATGGATGAGGGCATCCAGGCCCCCCAGTGACCCCCGCGAGAGGCTGTGGGCAAGTAAGACCGCTGAGGCTGAGGGACATGTCCTGCCCGGATGCTCCCAATCCCCACGCTCCCATCACCTTCCACAGCCCTGCGGGGCGGGGGCGGGGTCCAGGGACCCACAGAATCAACCCCAGCCTGCTCAGGGGCCAAGACCCCAGGAGCCCCAGACCCCCAGGCATTACCTGAAATCATGATCCAAAACAGAGGCAGCGCCGTGAGGAATATCATTTTGTACAGCAAGTGAGCAACAGCTGGATAGGGGAGAAGAGAGGAGAGGGTTAAAGGCCAGGGGAAGTGAAAAGGGTGCTTCTAGGAAGGCTTTAGGAAGCAGCCTGTTCAGATGTTAGCCACTGCTGCTATTATTATTTATAATCACAAACACATCTATGGGCATCAACCATGAACCACCCCCAGTACTTTACTACACAGATTCATTTGATCTCTCTGAGGTAGGTGCAATTATTATCCCCACTTTGTAGCTGAGGTCCAGAGAGGTTGAGTAACTTGCCCGAGGCCACACAGCAGGTAAGTGGCAGAGCTAGGATTCAAGCCCTGTCTGCCTGTCCAGGTGTGCAGATTTCACCACCAAACTGTCCTGACTCTATGTGGTAGTGACGTGCTAACAATCATCTTCATCACCATCCTGCCCTTGGGGGTCTCCAAAGAGTAAGGATAGAGCCAAGTCTGGACCAGCATCAGGAAGCAGGGGAAGCCAGGAGGAAGGGGAATTTGGAACCCTCCCCCTCACCTCCGTCTCCCTGAGTTGGGAATGTCTTCTGGTCCCACTTGAGGCTGTCAGCCGGCCAACCTGGAACAAGAGTCAGACAGGTGCAAGGAGGTGGGGGCCTGAGGGTCCCCTGCCCCTCCCCGTCCCGCTTTCAGGATCTACTGTGAGTAGATCCTGTAGGCTGCCCACATGGTCTCTGTTGCCCATGGTTGCTTGGGACCCTCCCACACAGCCTGAAAGCTACTCTGTGGTCACCTTCCGAGGCAAACTGCGATGGAGGAGGACTCTCGGGAAGAAAAGGGAAGCAGCAGAGCTCTGGGGGTGGGGGGAGGCGGGGGGAGTGAACGCGGTGAGAGAGCACACGTCCCACGGCTGAGGCCTGGGGCTGGGAGGCAGGGACCCAGCCCCATCAATGACTGGGTTTCACATCATCAACATTCCCAACATGCCACGTGAATTCCTGCCGCCCCCTCCCACCCTACAGATGGCCCCTGGCGTCCCCCCCCTCCAGAGGCGCGAGCCCGGCACAAAAGAGCCCTGTTCCCTCAGGGTGAGGGTGCCTCGTCCTGGGGGGCTTCTGGGGTAGATGGGGGTGAGGCAAGAGCTGGGCGAGCCTGGCTGGGCTCTGAGTGGAGCCAGGAAGGACCAGGGATTGGGGTTAGTGACTCCCTGGCACCCAGCTCCTCTGTGGGTCGCCTCAGGGTTGGACCCAGTGTTTCCAAGTGGCTTCTCTTCCTGGCCTTTGACACTCTCTTCCCACGGACAGACGCATGCGGTCAGACACATGCAAATACTGCCATGAAATGTGACAGATCTGGACGCAGCCAGAAGGAGCAGGCTCGCACCGTAACACCAGTCAGGTCTCTGCACACGCCGACAGGCACCGAGACCCCCGTGTGGCAGACACACACACACCTGCGTCCTCCTGCCCACCACACACCGGGACGGGCATAGGCATGGCAATCGGGCATACACACGGACCTGCCTGCGTGCCATGCTCGCAAAGACACTCGGACCGGCTATGGACAGACCCACTCAGACACATGCTGATGGACACGCAGCAGATGCCACCTTTGCACCTGCGACGGGAAGGTACGGGAGGTAGACACAGGTGAGGGCCACAGGGCCTGGGCAGACGTGTGAAACAAGTGTGTAGACCATGCCTTCTGAATGGGGGTGAAAATTGGTTCTTGGGGTGGGGTCCAGAAAAATCTTAGTTATTACAGTGGTTTGTGGCTCTCTAAAGGACCACGGTACATAAACATATACAGTCTATCCATAATATTAAGATCTCATGGGGGGAGCTGGATTAGGAAAAACAGGTCTAAAAGCTTTCCTTAGCGGGGTGTAAATAAAGGTGGAGAAACACTGATGTGGATTAAGACTCACTAAGAGGGGTGCATGAGCACGCGCGCCCCCGTCGTGTGCTCAGGGGCTGGAACTTGCTCGCTCACAGCACCCTCCCAGATGGCAGGATGCAGACGTCTGATCACCTGGGCATCCTTCCACTCTTCACCCGTCCCTGGATGACTTCCACCCCATCTGCCACAAACTTAGGAGCCCCAGGGCAGAACGTCCACCAGAGGGGGGCTGAGGAGGGCTCTTCATTCTTTCTCTCTGTGGTTTCTTCCCAAGGCCCTGTCACTACCCCTGCCACGGTCCCAGCCCATGCCCGCAGCACCCTCCCCCACCCTAAATTAGTGGCAGCTCCCAGCCACCATCCACGGCCCAGACCGCTTCGCATTGCACATGCCCTGGGCGACCCTGCCCCGTGCTCTCAGCCCCGGTCCTCTGTTCTCCTCCCCGTCCCACGGCCCTCTCGGCTGCAGTACTCACCTGATGCTCTTGCTTCTGCACCCTCTGCTCCGCAGGCCCCGCTCGCAGTCCCCTGGCCTCCCAGGGTCTAGGGCCCCACTTACCAGCCCCTCCCCTCCCCCTGGGTGCCAGGGGCCGCCTGCCTCCAAGGCCCAGCTCCTCCCTGCCCCCGGGGGAGGGGGGCACAAAGGGCCCTTGTCACCACTGCTTGAACTGGGCAGCCTGATGCCTGGGTTCTACGAGCTCCTTCCTGGAGGGGCTGGGGGTGGCTGCCTCACTCATTCCCCCCTCCATCACTGTGTACCCTGGTTCTGGGTCCCTGGGAGGATGCTCTAAGATCTCTGGAGTCTCAGGCTGAGAAGCAGAAGGCACTGTCCTCAGCGTCTAGGGGACCTTGGTGGCAGTGTTAGGGACAACCCCAGGCCTGAGAGGCCACAGAGGCCGGTGTGGCCAGGAGGAGGAGGCAGGACATCTCACTCTGGGCTCCAGTCACGTCCACGCTCTCTAGAGGGTGTCGCGTTTGGTACCCACATCCTGGTCTATTGTCTTCCAGCCACTTCTTGCCATCGGAAACAACCTTATGTGTTGACTGTCTCCTCCCGTGATAACATGACCTCCTCCAGGAGGACAGGGCTTGGGCTGCTTACGCCCAATCTAGCCTGCTGGGAGGCTGGCTCCTGGCAGAGTTAAGATTCGTAAACGCAGAGTGGGTGCATGGGTGTGATCCTCAAATACCCTGAGCGGAGGCCTTGGCGCCTCTTCCTTCCTCCTAGAAAGCTCCCCTGCCCCGTCCCACTCCCCGCTCCGCTGCTGGCCGTAGCCTGTGCGGCCTGTTGGCTCCCAGCTTGGACGCTGCTTCCTCTGGAAGCCTGCCCGGCCCCTCTCACCAAGCCAAGTTCCTCTGTTTAAATGCTGCCCGGTCCCTCTATGGCCCTCAGCACGCCATTTGCCAACCTGCACCCTCAGTGAGCTGCTTCCCCACTGGCATCTGAGCTCAGGTCTCCGCCTGCCTGTTTGTCTGTCTGTCTGTCTTGTTCACCACTGTATCCCCTAGAACAGTGCCTGGTGCACAGAGGGTGCTCAGCCAGGGCTGTGCTGACTCTCTGAGCTGGGTAGGGACCCTCTGTGTGCAGAGTCCACGGTGGTCCTCCTGCCACCCCAGCCCCTCCCATTGGTCATGACCTTTGCATGGTGATGGCGGTGTGACGAAGTGGAGCAGTGGTTTGACCATGAGCTGTTCAGTCACACTGGGGCATCTTCTGCCCTCCTTCAGGCCAGGGCAGTAGGGAGGGAGGCGGGGAGGGTCCTTTCTCCCAAGGGAGAGCCCAGCCCCGGGGGTGGGGGGGGCGGGGGGAGAGATGCAGAGGGTGATGGGTGGGGAAATCCCTCAGACTGGGGAGTGAGGAGTCAGAGAAGGCTGGATGGAGGGGGATGGGGAGTCCCACCCCCACCTCGGGCTTCATGATGTCAGACTCTGCCCGTGCCTTTCCCAGTCAGGGACAAAGGCCCACTGAGAGTGGGGTGGGGCTTGAACGCCGGGGTTCCAGACAAGAGAGTGGCCTGGTGCTTGGGCTTTGGGAGAGGACACGGAGATCCTAGGGGACTCATGTCACAGCCTTCAGCATCAACACCAGCCACCTTGGGGTCTTGTGCCCGAGCAGTTTAGGGGGGTGGGTCTATCGTCTCTCCGGGTGTGAACTGAATGATGGCTGTCCCTGGGGGCGGGATGTACACGTGAGTGAGTCCCACAGAGGGCTCTATCGCTGAGATCTGCACTCGGGTCTCCAGCCCAAGGGAGGACTGGGGGACCGGAGAGCATGTGCCAACAGAAAGGAGAGGTGCTACTCAGATCCAGCTACCAGTGCTACCTGATCATCGGATCCTTCCAGGCAAGGCAGGTGTGTTAGTTTGCTAGAACTACTGTGACAAAGTCTTACAAACTGGGTGGCTGAAGAAACAGTTTATTGTCTCACAGCGCTGGAGGATAGAAGTCTCCATGTCCACATGGCGTTTTCCCTATATGCGGGTCTCTGTGTCCAAATTTCCACTTTTTATAAGCATACCAGTCCTATTGTATTAGGACCCAGCATAATGACCTCCTTTTAATGTGATTATCTCTGTAAAGACCCTAGCACCAAATGCCACACAATCGCACTGGGGATTAAGACTTCAACATATAGATCATTCTATTCTATTCTATTTTGCCATGCGGCTTGTGGGATCTTAGTTCCCCGACCAGGAATTGAACTCAGGCCACCACAGTGAAAGCATCTAGTCCTAAACACTGGACCATCGGGGAATTCCCAACGTATACATTTTAGAGGGACATAGTTCAGCCCATAACAGCAGGAGTTCAGATTTTTACGTGAAATACCTCTATCTTTAGATATTAGCCCAATTTTTGTCTAAAACATTGTGCAGACCAAGCAAAATTGATCTCAGGACAGAATCAAGCCTTCCCAGGCCCACTCGTTGCACGTGCTCTTGAGGGGTAGCGGGTGGTTGGTCCAACCCAGAGGTGCTCTCTGCCCTCAGCCAGAGTTGGCAGCTTCAGCAGCAGGAGTCTTCAAACTGTGGCCCCCAGGCCAGCAGCAGCAGTATCAGCTGGGAGCTTGTTAGAAATGCAGATTCTAAGGCCCCACCCCAGACCTGCCAAATCTGCATTTTACCAGGCCCTCCAGGAGAGTCGGGTGCATGCTAATGTTTGGGTGCCTCCGCCTCACATCACTAGGACCACCTGAAGGACCGGCTAAGGTGAGAGAAGAGCACTGATGTCATCAAGTGCAATTAGCAGTTTTGGGTTTCCCGCCTCCCGGGGCTTATTTATCAGGAGGGTCTGAGAGGCCTCCACCTCCTCTGTCAATACGAATCCTTTGCATTGATGAGGTATTTGACAGTTTCCACTCACACTCAACCCTCTCTGAGCATCTCAACAGCCCGATGATCTGAGGACTGTAGAGGCTTCTGTCCTTTTACAGATGAGGAAGTGGGGTTTCAGAGCAAGAGGAGGATGCCTGTGAGATCCCGCAGCTAAAAGGACGCCAAGCTCCCCAAGTCCTCCTCTCCCCATCCTTCGGTCTCTGTTCAGGAAAACCTCTCCCAGAGGACCAACCTCTCGTGGCTTCCGAGGCAGAAGTCGGTAGTGTACGGGACTGATCTGGCTCCCAGCTGGGTTTGGTTTGGCTCCTAGGGTGTTGATTTTTAAAAAATCAGATTCCTTTCATCAGTTGTCAATATTTTAAAGATCGGGAAATTTCACATAAAATAAGGATTGCCACCTTCTCTTTTTTTTTTTTTGCCGGTACGCGGGCCTCTCACTGTTGTGGCCTCTCCCGTTGCGGAGCACAGGCTCCGGACGCGCAGGCTCAGCGGCCATGGCTCACGGGCCCAGCTGCTCCGCGGCGTGTGGGATCCTCCCGGACCGGGGCACGAACCCGCGTTCCCTGCATCGGCAGGCAGACTCTCAACCACTGCGCCACCAGGGAAGCCCGCCACCTTCTCTTGAAAAGGCGCTCTAGCCATGTGTCGCCTGCCTGTGGGCATGGCAGCTATGCCTGGCAGCCCTCTTTAGATGGGGCCCCAGGCCTCCCCACTCCCTATCTTTACGCAACATTGAAGCCAAATGGCCGAGGCCCTTTATCATCACGCTAGCGCTGATGTGTTCTCATGGGCTAAGGTGATAGTGAAATGCATCTTGCATTTCTTCTATCAAAAGTGGGGAAATCAGATAAATTGACAGGGATACAGTTTTCAAGAAGCAAGGGAGGGAATTCAACCCCTTATGGAGATGAACAGTATTGTCCTATGTATCTCCTATGCAAAGTATGTTGTTATTGAGAGAATATAAGTGAAGATGCTCCTGTGAAACAAATCCATCACATCTCACTCATTTACGTCACCTAGTGGTCCCTGAAGGCCAGTGGTTCTCAAGTGTTTTGGTCTCAGGACCCCTTTATACTCTGAAAACTTATTGAGAACTTCAAAAACCTTGTGTTCTAGTGAGTTATATCTATAGGTGCTTAATCTATTAGAAATTGAAACTGAGAAATTTTTAAAGCACAAGATACACAAGCACACAATCTACCAGACGTCAGAAGGATGACGTCCTCACACGTCATGGGGCCTCGCTGTCCACTCACGAGGGAATGAGAGTGAGAAAGACGGGAAACATCTTAGTAGTTTCCACCTTGTGGAGCCCTGGAGTAGTCCCCAGACCTTACTCTGAGAACCCTTGCTAGGCATGTGAATTTACCCCTGTAAATTGCAGAAGATTGCAAGGAGGAAACTTTAACTTTCATTCCCTGCTGTTGCAACATAAATTCGAGGTTTTCTGAAGCAGGGAAAGATGGGAAGAACAGAAACCAAATACCCTTCAACAAGCTTCCTTGCAAGCACACCAACCCCACACACCCCACCGAGCACTGGCCCTCCCAAGACAGGGGCCACAACGAGCCTCTGGCATAGGCCTTTGGCAGGGAGAAAAGACAATGGACTCTGGCTTGGAAAATAAGAGCTAGAACCGGCCATTTTATTCCAAGACCGTTCACTGAGGGTTGGAGGGTAGCAGGAATAAATAAGGGGCCGGGGGCAGGGCGGCAGGGGCTGCTCTAGGTTCTGCAGCATAACCCGCACGTTGCTTTGTAGCAGCAGCCACAGCAGAACGTGCAGATGGGGAAGTGGGTGTCTCGTCTCAGCCTCTGGAGCGCGGGCTGTGGGAAAGAAGGGCAGTGAGCGGGGCGTAGGCATGGGAAGGCGTGGGAGGCTCTGAAGGGAGTGCCAGGGAACCTCACCGTCAAGCCAGCTGCGGCTCCTGCTGTGTCCTGGGTCTGGAGGTCTGCGAGCCGTCTTGTCTGTGAAAGCAAAAGGGGAATTGAGGACGGCAGGGCCCCGGCAGAGCTCTCAGTCTCGCTCCCACCGACCAGCTCCTCCCCAGGGGTTGGCGTCCGCTGGTTCAGCTGGAATCCTAGGAGTGGCCTTACTTTGTGGCCTTTCCGCACCTTCCCACGGGTGGTTCTCCTGCCTACAAACATCCCAGATCCGTCTTCTCTCTCCGCAGCTGCTCACTCTTCCGTAGCACTCTCCGTGGCCTGGAGGCCAGTCCCTGCCTGTATCTTGTCCCTTACAACCCGTTCCCCATGGGTTATCCGTCAGATCTCGGCTTAAAAGCCTGCAGGGCTTCCCCTGTGCTTGGAGGAAGATCAGCGTTTGCACAGTTGCCCACAAGACGTGGCATGGCCAGCCCTCGGTCTCATCTCGAAGCACCATCTCCTTCCCTTACCAAGCCCTCTAGTCCTCAGGTACACCATGCTTGCCCCACCTTGGTCTTGGCTGGCTGCCCCCTTCTCTTCTCCTCCCTGTCATAGGTCAAATAACATTTTCTCACAAAAGAGCCAGCCCTTGATGCCATCTAAAGAAGCCAACCCACATCATCACTCTCCCACCATCTTTTATGTTATTCACGAATAGCATTTACTAAACACAAGTGTTCACTTGTTTTAAGTTCACTGACTAATTTCCCTGACCAGGATGTAAGCTCCACGAGAATACTCTCTCATCTACCTTGTTCACTGCTTGGTCACCACTGTCTAGAAGAGGACTTAACACAGAGTAGGCCCTCAATAAATAGCTGTGGAATTAGATCAGGGCCCCCAGTCCCTGCCACTCAGTACCCCATCTCTGCACTTCGAGCAGCTGCCTGTCCCCCTTTGCTTGCCCTGAGCTCTGGCCCGTGCTGGGGTCTCCTGCTGCCCTCCGCTGTCCCCTCCCAGGGACCTGGCTCTCCGTTGCGATTCTGGCTGCCCTCCTGGGCCCAGACCCTGTGGGCTCTCACCTGGGGTGGGAGAACGAAGCCACTGGTCAGGGTGACCAGGAGAAGCAGGAGGCAGGTGGCCCGGATCTGCATGTTCAGTGCCATTGTGCCGTCCGTCTGGCTGTCCTTCTATTACGTCTAGGACTTGCTCTGGTGTCTGGAAGCCCAGTTACAGTTGCTTTTATGGGGCCTCCTAGGGGAGGGGGGGCGGGGATGCTAAGCCCCCTCCCCTTTGGCCCAACTCATTTCCAAGAAGGTGGTGGCGCCGAAAAGGCGGGAGAGATAAGCGGGAACAGAGTGACAGGGAACAGGGTTGTGTCACCCTCAGCCAGCAGAGGTGTGTCCAGGAGGTGGGACAGACGCGACCACAGACACACGCCTCTTGCCAGCCACCTGGGAAACACTTTCCCCAACATGACATCACCCTGTTGATTTCAGAAAAAATTCCACCTTTTGCCCCAGCAGCTGAACTGGTCGATGAGCAGGAGTGAGGCGCCCTCCTTCCCCACCCTTCCCCGGCCTCCTCATTCACATGCCATATGGCTGTCACTTGCCGGGGAGGGAACACCGTGACGGCCACGTGCAGGAGTCTGTGTCGACAGGAGCTCCCAGAACACGTATGGGGTCTTTTTTTTTTTTTTCTTTGATGTGGACCACTTTTAAAGTCTTTATTGAATTTGTTACAATATTGCTTCTGTTTTGGTTTTTTGGCCATGAGGCCTGTGGGATCTTAGCTCCCCGACCAGAGATGGAACCCACACCCACTGCATTGGAAGGCAAAGTCTTAACCACTGGACCTCCAGGGAAGCCCCACCTGTAGGGTTTTTCAAGTGTCAGAAACTTAAGATGTGGCCCGGGTATCTGGGAAATATTCCTGCGAACTTTTGGCCAAAAAAGACAGTGGTGACGGTAATAGCTAACATCTGACTGCACCTTATGAGCCGGCAGGTGTATTGACTCACTTTTGGGTTAACTCAGCCTGTGCCACCTATCCTCTGAGCAGCTCCTACCTGACCCATCCTGGGCTCTGCTCTGTATTCAGGGTGCTAGCTGCCTTCTCAGCCACTGACCCCAGGGGCCAGGCTTCCTAGATCCTGCTCCTGAGAGAGGAGCCCACCATGCCCACCTGAGACTTAACTTTCTTCACTTTTCAGGAGAGGAGCTGAAGGCAAAGGTGAGGGCGCTGCCCAAGCTCGGCCAGCCAGAGGCAGTCGGGACTTCAGCCCGGGCAGCCTGACTGGGGCCTGTGCCCTCATCACCAGGCTTTCCTGCCTCCCAGAAAACACAGGAGGGCACGGTGGGTCTGCTGGACCTGGCTCATATGGCTCAATGAGCAGCTTGTGCACGTCCCATCCCAACTCCAAAGTTAGGGGCATCGTGTTGGCACCTTGAAACCCACTGATGTGGGAGTCCTTACACCACAGACGTTGGCAAACACTAACAACCCAGGCTTTCCTTCAGAGGGCCGGCTCCCTGCCCACCATGGGAAGGGGAGCTGAGCCGAGGCTGCCTGACTGCAGCAACCTCATTGCTACCCATGACCTGAACCATCTTAGAGCGCACACGGCCCAGGACAACAGCAAACCTTGACTCCAGAGATGGCCCCTTGGCCATTTTCCCTCCCCGGCTCACTCTAGGGCCATCCAGTGTTAACCCTACGAACCTGGGGATGGTGCTGTCAAGGAATGAACTCTTCTTCCTGGCCCCAAACTGTTGCCAGGGCCCACTCAAAGAGCACAAAAGTGGGGGCCCCTGGGAAGTAATGCTGTTCCCTGCCATCTGCCTCCCCACTCACTCTGTCAGGCCCCTCCGGCTGCACACAACCTCACTCTCAGACAGAGGAGGGAAGGAGACGGGGCTCTTGGAAGGAAGAAACCAGCTGGGGGCATCTGGGATGGGCGCAGCGTGGCGAGCTCAGTCAGGTGACCAGGCCTAGATGCTGGGAGTGGCTGGAGTTGCACGGGGAGACACAGCAGCATCCCCCAGCACTGCCAGGCATCACTGCATCTCAACTCAGGCCAGGTTTCATCATCAACCAGGGGCAGGGGTCACAGCACAGGCGCCAGAGTTGCAGTGCAAGGCGACAGGCTGACGGGCCAAGCCTGGCTTCCTGGCCATCTGCCCTCCCTGGGGGTGGGGGTGCTCAAGGCCAGGCCCCACCATTGGCTGACGCAGAGGGGAGGGCGTCAGCTCAGAAGAGCAGGGCCAGGAGCCAGTCCTGTTTCGGAACTGGTGACACAGAAGACCCCAGCCTCTCCTCCAAACACATGGGACATGTCCTTGACCCTGGCTCCCCCTGTCCCCCACACCACATATGCAACACCTTGGGCCTCCGCGAGGCTATTCATTCCTTAATTCCTTCATCCACACAACCAACAGACTGGGTACCAGGCGGTACTGGATGGCAGGGACCAGCACACAGCCACGAACACAAGAGGGAGGCCCTGCCCTCAGGAGCCCTGCACAGACCCCAGACTCCCTCCCCACACCTGAGATGGACAGATACACAGACAGACAAGGCGGGGCCACATGGGGCCAGTTTATTGCAGTTAAATACCTCTCTCTCTCTCTATTTTTTTTTGTCCATTTTTTTCCATAAAGAAAATTAGAACACACTCACACACCCAAAGGGGAGCAGGGTTCCAGAAACAAGAGGTGGGGTGGGACATGGCCTCCCTGCTTAGGTCCAGGCCCCAGGGCTGGTCCCCCAAAGGCTCCCCTCCTTCCCATAAGCACCCTGTCTCAGTACCTCTAGAGTCCAAGGAGGCAGTGGGGTATGGCAGGGGCTCTGTCCTCCTTCCTCTTGCCTCCAGGTGAGACCACTAGAAGTGCCAGGGCTGAGTAGGGGCCGGGAGAAGGGAGACAGACAGACGGGCAGGGAGGATATTGTTTCCAAGTTGAGGAGAGCAGTGGGTGCTTATCCACAGAAATTCATTATTTCTCCCCGTTTTTTGTTAAAAATCTACTATAAAAAACGCAGCTGGGGGAGGGGCGTCTGTCCCTCTCTGTGCTAAGGGCTGGGGAAAGGGACGGCAGGGGCCCGGAGGCGGCCCGCGCCGCACGCTGCGGACGGCGTCACTGCCGGGCGCTCTCGCCCACCATCTCCAGGTTGTGCTGCTGCAGCTGGGCGCGGAGCACGGCGTTCTCGTTCTTCAGCTCCTCGATCTGCCAGACACGACGGGGCACAGGCAGCCGGGGCTGGCTCCCCGCGTCCTGGGGTTCCTGGGCGCGCCTCGCCACCCGCCCAGGCCTGCCGCTCACCTGCTGCCTCAGGAGCTCACTGTCCATCTGCAGCCGCTCGGCCTCCTTGAAGGCCTCCTGCATGCGCTGGTTGGTCTGGCGCAGCTCCCGGATGTAGTCGCAGGCCTTCGACAGGATCCCTCCTTTACTCTGGGGGGTGGGCATGAGCATCAGCACTGCCCGCTGGCCGCCGCCCGCCGCCCACCGGCTCGGCCCCGGGCGGCTCCCACCTCTGGCGGCCAGGCAGACTCTCCGCAAGGGGCCGGGGCCGGGCCGCCACAGCACTGAGGACCGGAGGGCACTCACCGCTCCTGTCTTGCTATTATCTGCATTACAATCCGGAATGATTTTTGAAAGCTGGACGATCCAGTTGTTGATCTTGTCCCTCCGCCTCCGCTCCACTGCAGCAAGAACAGCAGGAACGAGGCTATGTTCACAGCACCCCCTCTGTGCCCGGGCGATTCACCTCCTAAGGCAGGTGCCACGAGAGCCGAGGCCACCCAAGGCCACACCGCCAGCAAGTGCGGGGCTCCGATCTGAACCCAGGCAGCTGGCTCCAGCCCCCTCCACATCGCTCCTCAAGAGGAACCCTCAAGTGCCACACGTACCCCAAGGCAGAATCGACAGCTGGGGGGCTGCAGGGTTCGCTTTACCCGCCCAGCGTGTTTTCAAAAATCTGATTCGACATTTAAAAATTAGGAAACTTCACCTAACAATTGGCCTCTTTTGAAAACTGGAGCTGTGGCCACAGTGGGCACGTGTTCTTGGCAGGCAAGAATGGGCCAGAGCCCTTTACACAGGACCGGGGCACCCTTCTCCAGTCCCCACGGCCCCTGCATTTGATTCTCCACGGTGCTCAGGTCTCCCCACAGCCCTGGGCCCCACGATCCTATTTCTCTTTTCATCTTTAAAATCACGGTCTGACCACGTCTCACCTCCACTGGAAGTCCTTTTCCAGGGTCCCCGCAGCAAGTCTCAGCTTCCCCGGCTGGCACTGCGGCTCTCAGGGGCCTGGCCCATCAGGGCACTGGGTCACCCAGAAAGAAACGCTACGGACCCTCTCTTGAAGGCCAGGTTTGACAAGCTACTGGCATATTTCACTTGAAAAGTCCAGATTTGTGATTTATTTCATAAAACACCACAATCTCACTCTGTCTGCTGAGTTGCGGGGAAGCTGCCCCCTTCAGGCAGGACTCGTATGTGTCTTTGCCCTGTCTTCTCATCTGGCCTGTCATGACCTATGATGGCGGCCTGGGGTCTGCCTGCACGGCAGCCTGAGACCCCTGGTTTGGGGCTCACTGAACAAAGCTATCCCAGCCCTTCGTACTAGGCAATTGCTGGGGACACACAAGAAAGCCCAGCTGCCCCTGTGACTCTCACCCACACACTCTCATCCCCCTGCCAGGGCAGCCCATGGACAAATGCAGGTGGTGTCTATAGAGGAGCGGGGACCGTAGGTGGGACTTGGCAAGGAGGGCCAAGGGGTATTTTCTCAGGGTTGGGAGACTGGGGGAGGGGTCGGGTGAGCATGAGAAAGATGGGGTGGGCCAGAAGCTTGCCCCTGACTCCTCTCCTCCTCTGAGGCCAGCCCCACCCCCCGACCCGACTGCTCCCTCAAGGGATGGGCCTGGCCACTAACAGGCACATCCAACTGTCTTCTCCGGGCACTTGCTTTTGCCCACTCGCTGCTGACCGGTCCTTCCAAGAGCCCCCCACTTCGGCCTCGGTGACGACACCCTCCCACGTGGACTCGCTTCCTCCCTCCCTCTCCTCTCTTTCCGCCGAAACCTCCCCCTACCACGGTAAGATGACGCCCGGTATTGAGCTTCACCTGACCCTGGCCCTGGGGTCAGCGAGTGCACAGACCTGGGCCCCATCACTACCGTGGTGAGTGAACTTTCCCAGCGAGGACGACCCTGTCTTACGG